AGGGGTTAATTATTCACTGGGTTTTAATTTTTTTATTTCGCTGACTGGAAAATGCGCTATTAAAATTAAAACCCTGTGAATATGTAAAATTTAGCATAGAACACATTATCTAAATGATAAAATCGTGAATTTAAAAACCCATTGAATATGCCTGAAATGGTAAATCAGCAAAATTTAAATCCAGTGAAAATTACTCATTGTACAGTATGTTTCTAAATATTTTCAGTTTTAATGTAATAACCTCATAATATTTGATTTCCAGTCTATTCTACTACTACCTTGAATCGCTTGGTATCAGCCTGTGAGAAATCATCTTTAGTAAGACCAGCTTTACTCAAAACATCCAGCTTTTCCTGAACCAATGGCCTGAGAAAAAATGTAATCATAATGAGAACTGACACTGGATTAAATATTATATTTTTGCAGCTAGGGATTGCCATGATTTTACGATTTCATGGCATTTGTGTAGACAAAATTTTGTGAGAGTTGATGACACTGCTACAAAATGTCATGATTTTCACTGACTCTTGAAAATCACAACAATTTGTCTCATGCTGTCAATATATCAGTACCACACAGAAACATTATTGACCTTGACTACAGTTGCATTAATAATTCCATCAACAAAACTAAATACTAACCTCTACTTCACTAACTACTTATTCATTGACACATCAAGTCCTGGCTAATTTATTTTATCTTAAAAGAAGATCCAGCACTCACATTGGCAATGGACAAATGTTAAGTTAAGAGAGACAGCAGTGACATTCAGTGTGGGGAACTGAAACCTGGCACAAACAAAAGTGTACCTACCATATAAAATCATCTGCCGTTTCCCTGGCAACAAGATATTGTATATTCACAGAATTTTTCTGTCCAATTCGATAGACTCTGTCTTCAGCTTGAACAAGGACCTGATAAAAAGCAAACATCCTACATGAACTATACACAAGAAAAAACACTTGGTTTTTAGAATAATTTGAAAAGAGACTTGTATAAAAAACACTTTATATGGTGTTTTATCAAGCAAAAAAGAAGATCCGGAGATGTTCCAAAAATGGTGCTTTTTTGCTTCTTTTTTTATTTATAAACAACCATATTTTACGGAAACCAGAAAAACAAGTTATGAGGAGTCCTATTTTTATCTGACATGCACAGTGATAAGAAACGGGACATTTTATTTGGCCTTACTGAACATCAAGATTGAAACTGAGCTCAGGATCTCAGACTTCCCAAAATAGAACAGTATGGATCAAATCAGATCACTAAATTCAGGTCAAATATCACATGCCAATCAGGTATCTTCCTTCCACTGCTGCCACCATGTGTAAATTAAAAGATTTAAAAAAAAGAGTATGAACCATATCTAAATATCAATGAATTATCGCCAAATGCTAATTATGTGGCTAATTTATTTATGAAATAGGTGCTAATTAATTCATTATTTTGTCTAATTCTAGTAAAGAAATCATAACTACAGATGCCACTACGATTAAATGACTTTTAGAACCTAAACGAATGACTTCAAATTATGAAGACTAAAATCTTCACAATTACTTACACCAGGATTCCAGAATAATTCAGCGAAGACGACAAGGCAAGCAGAATGTAATGTAATACCGGTGCTAGCTGCGGTGATGGATAGGATAGCAACTTTACAGTCGACATCATCTTGAAATTGGTCACACAACACTTTACGCTGATCTGATGTTGTACTACCATCAATACGTATGAAGTTATATTTCTATTCATGAAATAGAAAAAAAATGTTTCATAAACTCAATAAGTGATATGAGAACATGTGTTGCTGTCACTCGACCTCATAATGAGAGGGAATTGTTGTAAAGTGTGTAGTTCACAGTGCAGCCAGAGAAAGGTGTTTGTGTGAGAGCGCCCTCTATGGCCAATATGTTTTCTGAAAACACTCAGTACCTACCGTATATCATAAGAGCCATGATACTATTCAAATTTTCATCAAGGCAGAAGAAGTTTAGTTATAATATCAGTTCAGTCAGATTTAATGGTCACATGACCATATGGAAATCACACTGTCCACTTTCAAACTGATTTCTTACATAGCCAACTCAATTGAACCAAGACATACTGTGGAATACTTTATTTTCGCTGGAATTAATTTTCGCTGAAAAGGCTTTTTGGGCATTTTGTATGGAATTTATTTTCACTGATTTTTGATGAGTTTAATGTGAAATATAGAAAAAAAAGGATATTCGCTGGATTTTATTTTCACGGAATCATCCCTTCAGCGAAAATAGCAAAAATAAAGTCCAAGCGAAAATAAAGTATTCTACAGTATTCTGAATGGTAGTTCAAGAAATGCATTTATAAAAATACTGATGACCAGCAGCTGGCATTTTTGATGCACATGTTCAGAGGTACGATACTGTTAAACGCTTAAATGGAAAGTTCGCAAAACAACACATGGGAGAGTATGGTTCAGCATCGATCAAGGTCATGTCTACATCGCAACAGTTTCAAGCTAATTCTGTTAGATGAATTTCATTCAAATGTGTAAACAAAAATATATCATCACTAAATCTGCCATTAAATCTAGCTTTTTTTGTAATTTTATGAATACATATAGGTCTCATTTTTAAATTACTGCTATGGGTACGAGGAATGTGCCAGAGCTCAGAACGTGCATACATATTGTAATCTGTTAATAATGAGTTCAAGCCTCTAAAAATTATTCAGTAATAGTTTCTCATTTACCTTTTCAGTTAATGCAGTACAGAGAGCATCTAACAAACTCTGATGATGAGCAAACATCAGGAATTTATGATCTCCATCTAACAAGTCAAACATGTATCTCCTGAAAGGAAAAAATTTAAAACAATTTTATTCTAGGTACAAGTACAGTTAGACAATATCAAGTTTGAAAAGAATTCTGGCTATTGTTATTTACCTTATAGCTGGGATTTTTGCTGCTCCTGTCTCACTAAAATACTGTAACAAGGCACCTCTCTGTTCCTTTTTCTGCACAAATGAAAGAAAAACAATTATGTTTTTGTTAAATTTTGATATGAAATGTCTTTGTCACATAACCTCACCAAACCTGCTTTTCTAACCTTCACAGAAAAGCATTAATTATTGAAAAAACCACTGTTTGTTTGTTTATAAAATTAACAATAAGAACTGTCTATGAAAGCATTCTAATAGTTTATAGTCTGCACTTTCCTTCCGACGATTTTTTGAGTAATAAGGGAAAATTGACTCAAACTTTTTCTGTTGGCTCTAAAATTAAGGTTTATTTCCAGAAATATTGAAGAATATAATCAAAAAGTGCAGAAAAATTTGGGCGCGAAAGGCTGGTGGTGAAAAAGTCAAGAATGCAAGTTATTATTATTATTATGACATTAGTCACATAGCCCCCCTCCCTTTCGGGCACACTCATTGTTGTTTAAATTACAGTAACTTACACTCAAAGCTTTTGACATCTTGTTTGCTGCTGCTTTTAGCGACGAACTTTGAGTTTTTACAACACCAGGATCCATTACAATCTACAAATAATGAATAAAACAGTATTATAAAAGCAGTCATTGAAATACACATGATTTCCTATAAACACAACTTCTTCAGAAATATGTGACATATATGCGTCAAAGAACAGCCAATCACAGTGTTCATCTTGTTTTTATCAGTAGTGGTCCATCAATGAGAAATAAAGTTTTGAGAGTGACAAATAACTAGACAACCATACACAATCTTACTGACATTGCTGCCAAGCTTTTTGCTTCAAAAAAGTACAACAGGTGACAAAATCTGATTTTGGCATGATTACATTGATTCTAAAAAGCTTACCATTTGTCTTGTTTTGGAAGGCAACTGTAATAACACATTTTTTTTCAACCTCCGAATCATTATTTTCTCTTGCAACAATACCTGCAATTCTGTCATATGGGAGGAGCCAGAAAAATCCCAGCCCCAGTTATTCTGATAAGAAACAACGTTATGTAAGTAAGCGAAAGTTGTTTTCGGACATGATTAACAGATACTAGAACAAATACTTGAAAACTTGGGAGGAATGGAAATATTTTTTGAATTATGAACCTCAATTGAATGTATTTTGACCATATTTCAATTCAAGACATAATATGTGATCTGAAAGCATATTAAAAGGAGATACACTGGTCTAACCTTTCCACCTATTTCATTTTGAGAGTACTGGAGGGCCCCATCCCTTAGACAAACATACTTATAATGTAACAATCTTCGAGGGCAAACAAAGCCTCCTGAATGTCTATTGCGTATTCATTTTCTAAATTTAATTTCTCATTACCTATCCACATTCTCAACATTTGATCGTGTATATATTGGTCAGGGGAAGATTATTCACAGATGTTCAGATTAGGAAAGCAACTTTAAACAATAATTATGAACAGCATGTGGCAGCCATCTTGCATCAATAGCTCACACAATTGAAAAACAAATTTAGGGTTATACATCATCAGAAGTAGATTTACAGCACTCTTTTACCTGGTGCCCATCACAGTATCTGACGCCAAAGTCTTGAAATAATGGAAATAATTTGGGATCAATGGCGGTAATCTGTGTGTACAGTTCAGATGGTCTGGATAGTGCCGGGGTACCAGATAGTAAAACCACACGTGGTGCAGTCTGTGAATAGAAACAATTTTAGTCAATATTATATTGGACACAATATGCTGTCAGTGTAGTTGCTTTTATACTCAACAAAGCCATTAAAACTAAAATATCATCAAGGTTTTGTAAGATTCTAAGAACAGTTATACAGGTAATGCACAGTTCAAACTACTGTAGAATACTTTATTTTCGCTTGGAATTTATTTTCGCTATTTTCGCTGAAGGGATGATTCCGTGAACATAAAATCCAGCGAATATACTTTTTTTCCTATACTACACATTAAACTCATCAAAAATCAGTGAAAATAAATTCCACACAAAACGCCCAAAAAGCCTTTTCAGTGAAAATTCCAGCAAAAATAAAGTATTCCACAGTATTTAATTTTGCATTAAATCAGAAAAGGTAACAGAATCCTAAATTTACACAACATTACCTTTAACAGTGGCATGGCAGCTTTTGTCCTGGCTGTTTTAAAATTTTTCAGAGAGTGTGATTCATCCATGATCACTACCTGGAAGCGTTTAGTTTTCAATTCTTCTGCTTTTCTTGACATCATATCGTAACTTATAATATTCACCAATCCTGATGTAGCTATGTCTTTCTTGGTATTTACTACGTTAATTTGTTCAGGGTCCAGTGAAGGAACCCATTTCTTGAATGCCTACAACAGAACAAGTTTTTAATCCAGACTTAATGCTGAGAATGTCTCAATCATGTGTTGGGCTCAAGACCTCATCGTAAAAATATTGAGCAACATAATCAGCATATGAATATCAAAGTATATTCTGTAAACTATTCAATTTTTATGAGAAAACATTGTTCACGAATTCACAAGTAGGGGAAACAATTATGAAATTTTGTAACAATGAACACTTTAATGTTGCTGCAATGAAAATTTTTTATCACATTTGAATGTTAATATTTCAAAATGATTAAGGAGTTTTAGGACTCATACCAATAATAATATATCATATTTTAATCTCATGTCACCAAGAAATATTTTGATAAATAAAGAAATAATCTGACCATATACAAATATACCAATATCCACTCCATTTCAGACTCCAGACTTTTGTTTCCAAAAACAATTTCTAATAACTGCATGCATTTTTTTTTTCATTTTCGACATAATAATATAAGCATGAAGACTATAAAAATAATTTGATGCAAAGCATTTCCCTTAGGATTTGAACACCCAACCTTCAAGATTATTCCTTCTAACTATATATGAGAACTCAGAACATTGCCATTGTGTCTAACTGATCTTCGAACGTTGAACATTTCATACTTAGTTGAGCATGTTCCAAAGCAGGATTCAATATAGTGTTGCACTTTAGGTTGTCCATATTAAGAATAAATCAGTCAGGTTGCTACATACATACCTGATGAATGTCATGACTATTGATTTCAATTCATGGCTTATTTAACTACACATGTTAAAGACTTTGCTACCTGCTCAGACACTGACACAAAAAATTCTCAGAAACCATGACCCAAGAAATAACAAACATTCGTTTTCACAGCACTTACCTCAGCCCACGTTAACTTCACTGATGATGGTACAACTATTAACACCGGCCACTCTGTCCTGTAGTAACATGCAATACATATAGACTGCATGGTTTTCCCCAGACCCATATCATCAGCTAGCAATGCACGGCCATTACGAGATATCACAAAGCTGCAAATATAAAAATGTGCTTATCATATACTGTATAAGTTTGCTTACTTTTAGGGGTTGACCATTAGAAACTCTGGGTGGGCAAATGATAGAAAGAATATGCAAATTATTTATTCTCCTTCACTTTGTTTTTTTTTAAATATAGATTTTTGTTTAAAATAATTTTTCTTAGTGATTTTTGTTTTCAAATCCCCTTGAGGTTATTATAATGGTCAATCTATTGTTACAATATAAAAGAATGGGAACTTACTTGACTCCCTCTTTCTGAAATGGCATCAGTGTGTTGACTAGTTTACTGTCAACATTATTCAAATTATGTTCAGGGATCTGCCGAGTGACATCTCGTCCATTCAACTGTGCGTGGAACGTCCTCAGTACAGCATTAGGCAGTGGTTCAATGTCAACAGACAATGGCTTAATTGCATCCACTATAAAAAGAATATAAAAATGTTAGATATACCTAATTAGCATATAATTACCATAATAAATGATCCTATGTTTAAAGATCGTGTAGAAAATTTGGTAAGTGCACAGGCTACCCAGTCCAATCTCCCAGAGAAGAACAGAGCTACAAAGATGAAAATAAACAGACGACTCAATGATATACATTATTTTGAAAATGTCCTGTATTTTTCACTGAGTGTTTCTAGTAATGTGAATACAGTACACATTGCAGGTGAGGGATACTACTAGAATGAAATAGTGAAAACTTTTAACATGTATCAGATTTGTGGACCCAAGCTTTCTGAGATAACTAGACCATGACAATGAAATATTTCTTCTTCTTCACTTACTGAGATTCCTGTAATCTTTTAATGCAAAGTTCCACTTTTTTGTTGAAGCATCTAAGAAATAAATAAAACAGCAAAATATAGACTTTATTTCATAGATTACATTCATGCAAAGTAAAAAAAAAACATTGGTTGGTTCTATATCACATATATTACCTGTAGTATAGCAGCAAGAGATGGCAATGGCTTAAAGACGTACAGGCATACAAGTATGATCAGTGTATTTATACCGGTATATATCTCAGTTTGTCTATACTGTGTTTTGTTTGTAGTGAGACCCACACAACATATGTATAGTGCTGACAACCTAACCTTTTCATCACCAGATGTCCCAAATCTTTCTGCACTTTTTTTTTTACTTATATTCTTCAATATTTTTTGAAAGAAACCCTAATTTTGGAGTCAGCAGACAAAATTTGAATCAATATTCAGTTTTCACTCTAAAAATTTGGCTATTTTTGTCCCAATCTTCTGAAGGAAAGTGCAGACCATGAACAGAACTACTTTGTGAATTTGTGATAAAATGAGGGAACTGGTGGTGAAAAGGTTAACGGCAAATGTATAAAAGAAATTCAAATTGCAAATTTATTCTTGAGTATATGAAACTATTCTCACCATATTCTTTGCTTTCCATCATCTTGAAGACCTCTATCAACTGTTTATCATATGCTACATCTACAACAAACCTATCCCTAGTCATTAGTTCACAACAACCGGTGACGGTCTTGTTACCAAGGTACATGTCCAAAGAATTCAAAACTGAACCTTTTCTGTTATCTGTGTTGCCATGGTTTTTACTTTGCCATGACTGATGGGATGTTGATTTCTTGACGTTTCCATTAGGTTTATTTGATGATGAATAAAAACTTTTTATACCACCTGTAAATTTGATTGCTGTTTTGGCACTTTCAACTGATAATGTTTTGGAACTTTCCAAACTCTTGCTACTGAACTGTACATTATCTTGAACATGTTGGCGATGTGTTGCGGTCATGGCAGGGATGCTGCATTTGACAAACTGTGATTGGTTGCCTCGTGATTGATGTGCTGTGTTTTTTACAAGTGATGATGTCTTCTGTAAAAATTGGCTATTTGTTGATCTGAACTGACTGTTTTGTTGTGTACAAGCCAATGGTTGTGATTTGAACTGTGAAGGTGGTGCTGACGAAACTGTCACTGGTTGTGATTTGAACTGTGGATGTGGCACTGACGCAACTGCAGCTGGTTGTGATTTGAACTGTGGATGTGGCACTGAAGTAACTGCAGCTGGTTGTGATTTAAACTGTGGATGTGGCACTGAAGTAACTGCCACTGGTTGTGATTTAAATTGCGAAGTTGGCACTGATGTAGCTGCAGCTGAACTCAGTGCCTGCTTTTGGGGATATACCGGTAACTGTTTTGTCTGCGGTAAACTGGCGTATTTGTTACATCCTACTTGTTTCAGTCGTTCTGCTCTCTTGGCAAGTGCCTTTCTTTTATTTTCTTCAATACGCTGCAATTGTTGTTTTGACAATTCACTAGACGATGACATAATGTCATTTTCCAAGGATCTCATATAATGAACAGATATCTATCGAGAGAAAAAAGATTTTAGGGTCAACTTGTACCAAAACTAAGTCATTCATCTACAGCCAGCTCACCCAATGCCCCTCCCCAATTTACATTATATTCAGCCTATTATGAGGATACATATATGGAGGGACATATACATTTTGGGTCTGGAGTGTGAGGGTTAGTGTTCAGGATAGGGGTGGGGCCCTGAGAAACTTTTTTCGTCCAAAAAAAATTGCACAATACCTGTACAATGTTAACAAATATTAATTTAAATCCAATGCGCTCTTCAAATGGAAATCACAAGTATGAGGTTTGACCGGGGCACGACTTGCACTGATTACAGCCGGTAACTCCTTGATACCTTCGAATGACATGAAAATTACCTAACTAAAGCATGGAAACGTCTCAGTTCGTACTTGTTGATCTGAGCAACAGTCAAAGTCGCCATCTTTGTTTATATGAGTCCCATATATCTCGCGCATGCGCAGTACAACGACTACCACACTTTAATATTTTTTTTGCAAAAAACATTAGTAATATGAAAAGTTTTTAGTGAAGCTGAACAAATATATTCTTTATTAATATTATCAATTATATTCGTGACATTTGCTTCAGCTAAGCAATTTATTAGAATGTCCAAGCCATGCATGAATTTTGTCAGGGATATATATCTGCATGCTTCCTCCCCAGGATTTCACATGGATAACCCCTTGACAAATAGTACATGGCGAAAGATATCCAAAGAGTGCACATATAATGAATGCATGTAGTCAGATCATGGAGGTGAACAGATGGGTCAGATGTCTCCGATCGTATTATTAAAATCAATAAATTGTCAATTCCCATGTTCCCCAGGATTTGCAATAGCCAATGCCTTTATACTAGACACTCTTTTGCAAGGAGGATTGTGGTCGTGATCGGAGAGTGTGGTGAAAAATAAACAGCTGGTGAAGAAAACAACTTTACCAATACTTTCTACCGGACGTTCAAGAGTTGTTTAGAGCTCTCCTCGATACACAACACTTACCCAATCTTTGCCAAACAAACATATAAGATGTGAACTCACTATAGGGTCACTGTTATCCAATTATAGAGCTTCTATTATTAGGGTCGTAATGTTAACCAATCCTGGACCGCCTTTCAGTCGCGATTTGGCGCGTTATTTCAAGATGGCTGAAGGCTTTGCAGAAAGCATAAACAACTGATTGAAGTTGGAGTTCTTTTAATACTGGATTGCTGCAAGCAGATTACCCACTATAACATTTTGCAAACAAGCACAAAAATGAGTAAATCGAAAGAAATCGAAGGTAAGAAAACATTGCGTGAGTCAGTGATTGTAAGTTTTATAGACCACGACAGACGACGTCGTGAGCGACGTACAATCGTAAAGTAACGTCATTAGACATTACGTAATCTCAATCGTAATTGTACCAATCATGATGAATATTTACAGCGGATGACTTTTTAAAAAAATAGTATTCATTGATTTTCAGCCTCAAGTGACTGTGACTTGTGTATTCTTTTTGGTGCCTGCAGAAAGTTGTAAAATGAAGTACCGGTAGACAAAAAAATAAATAAATAAAAATAAATAAATACAAACAAACAAGAACTCAAAAACATCTATCAGAGTTTAAACTTTAACAGCATGGAGGTGAGGCCCAGATAAGAGAAAAATGTTTCTGGTCTACTTTGTATTTGTTGTCCAAAGGCACACATTTTTGTTAATGAAAATTCTGATGTACATGATGACTAAAAAAAAATAGAAAATTGTGTTTTGGGTCTTCTAGTTACTGCCTTTTAAGTAGGATTTTGTTCATGATTGTTGTTTACTTTTTGGAGCTAAAATTATCCCTGTGCTAGTCAGATAAAAATAACCTTATCATTGAAGAATATTTCTGTTGAAAATGAGTTTAGCCATTCAATATACAATACAATATACATTTAAATATACTTGTGGCACATTCACATGTACAGTGAGTTAGATTAACTTTACTATATAATGTCAATATTTTTTATTTTTTAGCTGCCACAGGTGTATTGAACTATCTCAACCAGAATAACAGACCATATAGTGCTGTGGATATATTTAATAATTTACATAAAGAATATGGGAAAACAGTAAGTAAAGCGTCTAGTTGTTGACAAGATAAAGATTTATTTATGTTTGATACATTTATGTATAACCACCATATTAATTATGCTGCATGTGTGTAATTTTTACAGATTTTCACATACCAACATACAAAGGTTTTCTTTATCTGCCAGTTAAGTAGCTGTCTACCTGGCTACTTTGTATTTTTAAGACTTGCAATCTGTAGAAAAGTGTCAGCCTCCTAGTTTCTTAATCTATCCACCTATTCCAGATTTTAGTATACCCCGACATATAATTTGTTTCAGGCAGTTGTACGATCATTGGAAGACCTGGCAAACAATGGTAAAATTCGAGAGAAAGTTTATGGAAAACAAAAAGTGTACGTTGCAGATCAGGTAAGTATAATTCCAAAAGAATCATTCTGATTATGCTATTGATTTGTTTAACCAGAGATACCCTTGTACATTTCAGTAAAATATTTTATCTTTAAAGACATTTTCACTGTTTATTGATGAGTTGAATATAAATATAGGAAGATGATATTTTCACTGATTCATTCCGTCAACGAAAATAAAATTCAAGTGAAAATAAAGTATTTTATAGTAGTACATGTGTATTTAAATCATTCATCTGTTATTGCTCATCAGAGTCAGTTTCCAACTGTTGAAGAGAATGAACTGAAAGAGATGGACCTCAAAATTGCACAGTTAAAAGAAAAAGTTCAGGCATCAGAAACTGAAGCCAGAAAAATGGAAAATGGTAAGTGTTTGTACGACTGGGATGAATGGTTACTGGTCAGCTAAATTGCAGAGTTTTCAAGCAGATTTTAATGCAATTCAGTGTTATGTGAGTCAGTAAGCAAGCACTAGTAGGTAATCTGAAAGTACAGTCAAAAGTCAGTTTCCTCAAATCATGTATACCGGTAGTTGAAAGGTTAATAGGCTGTTGCACCTGTTTTGCTTGCGTCTGCGTGTACATTGACTGGTAGGCAAGATCCAATCATTCTCACCCAAGAGAAAATAGCAACCTTGTTCGCATCTGTTGTTTTTAAATATTCATTGTTGCAGCAGCTCACAAGCTAGTGTTGTTCAAAGAACAACAGTTGTTAGCAGACATTTGCATGCTGGTTGGCAAAAATGTGTGACATGTGACATTTATGTGACTATTATTATTATAAGCATAACTGAGTAATTTTCAATGTTTTTATCACCTCGAAAAAAAGTACTGACAAATCATTATTTATTCACTGTTTTTCTGACAAGTAAAATTTGCTAAATTTAATACACATAACACGTAGATGTAACAAGGTGAAAGTGATATATTAACAGCACACTATTTTCACTGATGGCACATGCATTATTTTTTCTTTCTTTCCAGTGTTGCATGGTTTAAATAGTACTATGAAAACAGAAGATGTTAAATCCAAACTATTAGAAACCACTAAAGAGGTAATTATCATTGAACAACCTTACTATTGAAGGTGCATTTCATATATTTGTTCCATATACTATTTTTGCTATGACACTATTCTCTCGAAACAGGTAGCCATAATTTTCCAAGTTTTCTTTTCAACATTTAGCATAACAAATCAGCCAATTTCCACCATGCAAAAGCTCAATTTTTTTTGTGACAATTTGATACTGATCATAACTAAATGTTATACACCCATGTATGTATTTTATTGAAGAATAGAGATGCTTGTTTTCACCAGCAGCGTTCTCAAAAGCCAGTATTATAACATTACCGAATTTGCTCTATTAAAAGCACATGTTGTATTTATTGTATACTCGGTCATTATTAGTTTGACCATATAAAGACACCTGTCATTTTTGTATACTTGTGCTACAAATAGAGTAAGTACAGTACTTTCTTTCTCTAAACACAGTGCAAACAGTATAAAGAGAGAATTGACAAACTAATGTCAGCAGATAATCATATAGCACCTGAAGAAAAGAATAAAATCTATTCAGATCATAAAACGTTTGTTAAAGAGTGGCGGAAACGTAAAAGGATGGTGAGTTGACTGTATCCTACTTTTTTTACTGGCTACTGTACTTTCATATCACTGTCTTTAATGTCTGTTTTGTCACACCTCTAACAATATTTTTAAAAACTCCTCATCAGAATGCTTGATTTAATGCTTTGAGTGCTAAAATACAGCCATTGTATGTAGACAACTTCAAAGTATGTGTACTTGGTCTTAAATTAACAGAAAAAAAAATGTTCTTTGCGTCAGAGAGATTATGGAGTTTAAAAGGGTTAATGACAATCTACGTAGAATGGACCCAGAATCCAAATATGGCATTGTTATGATGTACAGTCAGTATATATCAGACATTTGAACTGGAATCTGAATGGTGTACTTTAATCTAGTGTATCATTCTATAAATAAAATCATGCAATACAAGTGGAAATACTCACTAGGGTAAATTTCTTTCTGCTTCAGGCAACTGAAATTACAAATGCTATCTTAGAAGGTTATCCAAAGACAAAAAAACAGTTGTTTGTAAGTATCCACATTCTGTTCTAGTAGAGTGAAAGCTTTCTTAAATCTGATTGTCAACAAATATACGTGTATGTATATATAAAATTTAAACATAATTGGTTGAGACTTATCAGAGATATGGCTGTGGAAATGCATCCAATGGTCACCAGACTGTCATTTTTAATCCGATGTGAAAAATCAAAATGATGTGCATTAAGATTCTATAATGCGCGATGTACATGAACCAAGTTTGAATCCATCTATACATAACAAAGATCCGGTTCCAGAATGGCAGAAATGCTTGATTTTAATGAATTTTAAGCACAGAATGGCTTGCTGTCTTGAACAAAATTATGAAACAAATGGGTGTGTATGTCTCCTAAGATGTATGTGCATGTCAAGTTTGTATGTAAACGACCCAGACATGTCCCAGATCAGGCACGCACAGAGGTAAAACCAGAAGTTCCCGTTTTCGAGCTGCATCCAAGGAGGGCTAAAAATGCAAATTCTGGTTCCTGCATGCTTTTAATAGACAAATATGATGCCCGGTATATACAGACAACCCTTTTATCTCTGCTGTCAATACGTTATACGAGCAGAACTATTTATATTGCTCAGACTTCTTTAAAACTGCATGGCACATTGTTAGGACATTTCGACACAGGATGTTTTCATATTAATTTTATTATTTCTACTTTTCTAGGAAGATATTGGATTGGAGACAGATGAAGAATATAGTGTCAAGCCACCAGATATTTAAAATTGATGCTGATAGGGGGATGGGGGAATATTTGTTTGTAAAGTGGTAGCCAGCCTAGAATTTTCAACCTACTTTTGTATTTAGTTGATAATGTATATCAGGGAAAAATGTATTAACTTCTTACAGTGTTTCTAATCTATTTACATCTTTATGTATTCAATTAAACATTGAATACCGTATAACCCGTTTTGTAGTCACTTTATAATGTAAGAGTATGAATGTTGCTCAGCACAAGCTTTCTCTTTGAGAATTCGTTCCAATTGTGAGTCTTCTAACCGCAGAGATTTTCTGTGATGCAACTACTTACAATATGCTTATTCCTTGGCATGTCAATGATGTAGCAGAAGATCATACATTCATAAAGAAATCAAATGCAACAAGAGTTCAGAAGTTAACTCTCACCCCGGTAGTCTCCAAGGTGACTGACTTGATTTTTAGGATTCCATTTTGTTTCAAGACTTGTATAAAATCAGCCCAATATACAAGATTCATCATTTTATTTCACTTCATAATAATATTATGGAACCATAGTATTGAAATGTCAAGCTATTCGTCATACATTCTCACTTGTTCTCAACAAATTTTACTTTAATAAAATTATTGTACATGTTCAGAGAATCATGGAAAAAAGAATACAACATTCACCCAATGTTTGTTTTTCATCATACATTTTTCTGGCTGTATCTGTAATGTAATAATTAATAATACAGATTTTGTTATCAGAAGATCAAAATACAGTCTAGAATACAACTTGTGGTCTTAGATGAGGCTGGAATTTATTGGCTTTCATCCTCAGATTAATATCTTGCTTGGCTTTCCATTTTTGTATCACTTTCAGATCTTTGATCTTGCGTTGGGCAGCTTCACCTGTTGAGATAACGCACGTAATTAATTATCAATTTACCTGATATTCTGCGGTGAAATCACATGAAGGTAGAGGCTCAAGGTGTTGCCAAGTAACTAAGCACATTACATACAGGCAGGCAGCTCACCTATGATGAGACTTCAATCAGAGTGGGCCTTGCATAAAAGCTGTCTGTAATGCAAGTTACAATGTGTTTGCTGATCTTACAAATGTGATCTGCATTGGTAATTGATCAGACATGTGTCATTCACCATATTTCTCTATTTCCTGATCTGAAGTTGGCTTCACATCATCCAAGCTGTGTAATATGGCCATATGACTTACCTGTGGCTCCAGTCCATCCTAATGCCTTATACTGTGTTATAACTCTTCCCACCATATCTCTATTTCTCGTCCCCGTTACAGCGACTTTACGTGTTGCAGGAAACTTCTGTTTGTAATATCTCATCAAATCTCTATGTCCTACTCGGGAACCTGAAATAATAATAACATTAATAGGATTAAACCGTCTATGATTGTAAGATTTTGAAAAATCTTTAAATAATAGACTAGTGAAAGTCTAGTGTTGTAGACAGGCCTTATGTACGGGTCAGTCTGTGCATGCAAGATCGCAATGGTAAAGTACTGAAGTCAAGATAGCCAATTAGTGATGACATAGAATTGTGCCAACTATGAGCATACTCAGAATGGCTAGATTCCAGGCAGAAATTGTCACAAACAAGGTTATTTATACTTGATTATCTAGTGGATTGACATTGCTCCTTGAGTACAGTCAGCTGGTGCATAAGTGATAATAAAATAAATGCGATATTTACTATATGGGGGCCACCATCTTAGAAATGGCATGAAACTAAATAAGAGACAAGATTCCTACAAATCAAAAAACAAGCAGCCTGTCGGCTGAGATGGCTCCACTGTTAGCAATGCACATTTCAATTAAAGAACAGAAGACATCATTAGAAAATGAACAATATGTATAGTATCAAAGCAATCGGACTTGCAGTTTTTAACAAGAAGTCGAAAATATCACTTTCTACCAAAAATGACAAAAATATTCACCAAAATTAGAGAATTGAAGATATCATCACGAAATGAACAAATCTGAGAAAGGTCTACATGTAGTATCTATATATGTACATTGTAATATCAATGCAATTGAACTCTTGGTTTTTAACAATAAGTCGAAAATATCACTTTTTACCAAAAATTACAAAAATATTCACCAAAATTAGAGAATTGAAGATATCATCAAGAAATGAACAAATCTGAGAGAGGTCCACATGTAGTACCTATATATGTAGTATCAAAGCAATTGGACTTGCGATTTTTAACAAGAAGTCGAAAATATCACTTTTTACCAAAAATGACAAAAATATTCACCAAAATTAGAGAATTAAAGATATCATTACAAAATGAACAAATCTGAGAGAGGTCCACATGTAGTACCTATATATGTAATATCAAAGCAATTGCACTTGCGGTTTTTAACAAGAAGTCGAAAATATCACTTTCTACCAAAAATGACAAAAATATTCACCAAAATTAGAGAATTGAAGATATCAACATGAAATGAACAAACCTAAGAGAGGTCTACCCAAGGTACATATACACCAAGTATCAAAGCATTCAGGCTTGTAGTTTTCAAGAAGAAGTCGAAAAAGTAAAACATTGACACGGACGAC